CCTCCTCGCCTACAAGCAGCGACCGCTCACCGCGTGTTCCCCGCCAGCACGGCCCCTGCGCGCCGGGAGGCGGCTTAGCGAGCGCGGAGTGGAAGCGCGGAGGCGAAGCCGGGCGCAGGGAAGTTGCTGGGAAGCGGCTGGGGGGTGCGCGATGTGGGCAGCACATGGAAACGCGCACGGTAGACTTGGGAATTCCGTGCTCGCTCACTATCGATACTTTCCAGAAATCCCTTTAAATCTGCTGGTTGTGCTGTCCGGGTGCATTGACAGCCCCATGAACAGACGTGTAAGCAAAGCCCTATAGGTAAGAATCCTTGAAGAACAAAGCAGAAAACATCCCTGTGTGTGGTAGGAAGGAGTAAGATTTCTGTACGCTTCAGAAGGCTTCCTGCCATTTGATCTTACTGTAAAAAAACCCAATTCAGCCCGATTCCTCTGCACTCTCCCATGTCAAGTTTCCGCTGACGTCAGAGGCAGTAGGACCACGCGAAGGACAAGTACGGGACCGAGCACGACACGGTGTCTGGCGCGGTAGGCTTCCTCAGAGATCTGTCTGGAGTCCTTACCAGCAAAATGAAGCAGGAAAAAGTCAGCAGCACCACCAAGAGACTGGGACTTCAATTGCATGAATCTTTATTTTATCACATTATTTCTATACATAGGTATGTGATACATGCTAAGCACACACAGACAGACATCCGTAAACAGAACATCCGCTGTTCCTGAAATCAAATACCCATTTGCTTCTGGTAATTCAGCAGTTAGTATTTGCAGGCTTGGGCCCAGGCCAAGAAGCTGCTGTTGAGAGCCTGGCGTTGACTTGGGATCATGGGTTCCAGCCTCCTTCCTTTCTGTCTCCTGCCTGCGTCAGACTCCTTGAACTCAAGACTACGATTTCAGTGCCCCAAAGCACGCCATGAGCTGGTGTTGAGAAGCTGGACACTGGACATCGCACAGTCCAGACGATACTGCACACTGGCGAAGCTGCGTAGCAGTGACCAAAAACAAGGCGCCCTGGCAACAGCAGAAGGACGTAATGCCCATCGGCATGGTACCTGCAGCAGCTGAAGCATCTCGCGTAAATCCACACTATGCTCTGTAAACCTGCCCCTCTCTGCCGCAGTTCTGCTGAAGTCGGTGGAATGACGCATACCAGTAAGGCCTACTTGCATGTACAGAATGTGTAGGAGCAGTTCCTAAAGCAAATGTTCACAAATACTGTGGCGACAGAAGCATTATAAATACATTTCAAGCAATACAAATACAGGGAACAGATTAGGTAATTAATGTAGCCATTTGATTACTCATGACTGACATTAACAATTTGGGTAGAAAAGATGCCAGTGTAATCTTGTCTCTCATTTCTGTCATTACTGGTAGCACATACTGTGGGGGTTTTTAGAAACCAAGAAAACCAGATACCTTTCTTCATTTGTCCTCTCTTTCTTAGTTAGATAGTACCTGAATATGTTAAAAAAATATGTCGTTCTAGATTTGATGGTACTTGTGAACCATACTCATGCACATAAATAGAAGCAGCATCAATAGTTTCAGTAAGTGCAAGCTGTTCACTCAGACATCTCCACACTCTCTGTGGTACTTGTTCCTGGGCAAAGGATAGCGCAAAGCCTGTACATCACTTAGACCCCATGTGATTCCTGCTTTGAAAGTTTATGTGTCATGGCACGCTTGTTGATTCTGTGCACAGGAGGGAAAGCACTCTATCTGTGTATGATTTATGAAGTTTCCTGAAATATATTTTTATGATCATTATTATTTGTGAAGCACCGCAAATGTCAGAACAGAGGGCAAAAAGGCACAGATACTTGCATCTCGAAGGTTTTTTCTCCTTAGTAGTCAATTGCCAACTACTTTGAGTATTCTGGCTGAAGGAGTAGTGACATGTCAAACACGCACGAACCTGCGTGACAGTTTCAGCAGAAGTGCATGCAACGGTCATGTTGTAAATCCATCTTTTAATAATCATGATAGATTTTCAACTCTGAAAATCTATTTGCAGTCGTATTTTTACATCTTATCTTCATCTGTGTTTCTGTTCAGTGCTGAGCAAGATCCAGAAGAACCCTGCATCACTCTGATTCATTCTAGCTATTCTGTGAAAGTTAAATGCAATTATGAGAATAAAAATAATTTTTGGTCCTTCAGTGAGGTTAGAGCCCTTCCTTGTGTTACAAAAATGATGCTTTGCTACTAATTTCTAATGAGAAAATAATACAAGTGTTAACAATGCAAGCTTCGTGATGTATCAGTTCGGCAGAAAAAGCCTGCCTGCTCTCTGTATCAGCCATTGCTGATACAGGATGCTTTGAAATACACATTTCGATACACTTTGAAATATACCAGTTTTAAGTAATATCTGGTATGAGAAAATGAACAAGCTTGACTACACAAATAAATTCAGTTTCTAGGCTAAAGCTATCTGTTACAATTCAGTGAAATTACAACCACATGTTAGAGCACTATGCAGTGTAAATCTAATGTCAACAAGAGCAATTTAGTCTTTGTTTTAGTTAAGTTCCACAACTTTAGAGAAATATTTGTGTGCACACCTTCTCATTCCACGCTAATGTGTTGGTTTACCAACTGTATTACGTGATGTTGTGAAATGTCTCACAGACTGGCCTTTACTTGCCTGGTCTTTACAGCTCCAGATGCTATTTCCCTGCTTATGTGCTAGTGTGCCTTCCTCTTTACACATGAATGTGTCAGTGGTCATCACCCTGACTTTTCACCTATGTACCTTTTTGCAAAAATACACTGCATTCATCTTGCAAGCTGCCTTCTTGTGGCTTCTGCAGTTGGCGTTGCACCGTGTGAACGTGTAGCAGCTCGCACTGGAAGTCTGTTACCAGGGTGTACATAGGAGTTATTGCAAGGCAACACTAGCAGAAGCTCACCAGCATGACTCAGTACAACACTGCACAAGCAAAGGATTTAAAAGTGGTTTATAAACTAATCAAGCTTCCAGCTGGTCACTAGGCAAGTCCCTTCTTATTCCTCTAGGACAAAATCTTGGCAAGAGATACCAGCACTGTTTGGAAGACACAGGAGATAACCCACATGGTTGCTCTAGAGTTCCTACCCACCAAGGTCAGCAAGTTAGCGAATTCTCCTGTAAAATGTTCCCAGCAGCTGAAAGGTTCTCACTTCTGAGTTCCTCAGCGAGTTCGCCTGGCCTAATGCAGAGCCCTCGCATTGAGGAGGCTGCACAGGACACCACCATCAGTTAGCTTTTTCGGCAGAACAGATTCTGGAAATTCCAGCTTCACGTTATTCTCTATACCCAGTCTGCACAGATGATAACGCACTTGATACAGTGGTCAGCAGGGGTTCTTGCACAGAGAATCACTATACATAAATGCTATACCTTGGTTCAAGTAGAGAGAAGGAGCCTTCTGTCAGCAACTGATGGAGTCTGGGAATCCCAAACTTGCAGAGCTTTTCTCTGGCCCCACAATAATCACCTAGAAAGTGTAAGTGCTGCAGCAGTACTGTTTCCTGGATCATATTCTACATATGATCGTCTTAGTCTTCTTTTCTCTCAGCTTTTTAGAAACTCCTTCTGTTCCTAAACTGTGTTCCTAGAATAATAAATAATGGCTGTCCTACATGTGAGCAATATTAGATGCCTCCCAGTCCAAACATCACAATGTGGCAATGGGTCAGAATTTATAGGGTGAGCTGCTCCTGCACAGGACTGTGAGATGCCTGTTGTAGAGCCATTTCAGCGGAAAACCTGTTATATGGAAATAATAAACCAGGTTCATTAGTGGTTTTTTGTATGCACTTACGACAAAAAATTATCTCCAAACTCCTCATTCGATGTTTTTTACTTCAAAATAAACCTATTCATGTCACTAAAATCCTAAATTGTCTACAGTACCCAAGGTCAGGAAAATATGCTTACACTGAATGCAATTGAGAACAGAACCTAGTTGCAAGGAATAATTTCGGTAGAGACAATGTAAATACCAAAGCAAAATGTCATTAGATTATTATGTCTGTACAAAAAAGCAAAGCTGCAAATTTTTCAGCTGACATCCAGACCAAAAAGTTACACCTTGTTAGAACATGAAATATCTATATTGTACTGGTACACTGACTAAGTGTTGGTCCAGAAGAAAATGAACAGACTCTACTTTCCTCTAACAAAAAATATTTCAAGTAGCACAGAAGTGCTCGTTTCTGGACTCACAAAATATTCCATAAGTTAGAAAGGAATTCTCAAAAGAGAATTCTCAAGGACACTTTTGTATCCTTCCAACAACAAAGGAAAAGGTGAGAAATCAGTTTATGAAACTGAATTACAGAGGTGAGAAACAGAACCAAAAAGAGAGGAGCACCTAGGAATAAATGCTGGGAGATAGCTGCAGAAAAAGGATCTAACCTTACCTTTAAGTACAGCTGAAAGAAATAAGAGACAAGTTATTTTGTGAGAAAGTTTAGTGTGTAACTTAGTATCACCTATAATCATGCAAATGCTCATATACTTGAGTAATTTTCTGTATGTGAGCAATTCCATTGGGTTCTCTGATGAGTTTATTAATGCCACCTGCCCTGCTAAATGTAAATCAAGTAAATCACCCACACTTAAAAAAAAAAAAAGACGTATCCCTTTCACCTTCGTTGCAGGTAAAACTGTAACATACAGGAAGAGCTGAGATTTGAACTTCTGCGACAACTTCTTACCTTTATTTCAAATTTAAAAAACCCACATTGTTATGCATTCTATTTTTGTTATTAAAGACCATGACATACTCTACTTTTGTTTGCTGAATGTGTAAAGTGAAGACACTGAAAATAGTATTCAACCACATACCCCTGTAATGGGCATTCTAAGATTTATTTTATACGAGATCCTATACTAATGTTTTTATTTGAACACAGGGATGTTGCTTCTTAGGGTAAGAAAGAAAATGATGTGCTCCTCTTTTACTCTTTGGAAGAACTGGAGGGAGAAGATGCCATCCAGAGGGACCTGGACAGGCTTGAGAGGTGGGCCCATGTGAACCTCATGGAGTTCAACAAGGCCAAGTGCAAGGTCCTGCACATAGGTCAGGGCAACCCCAAGCACAGATACAGGCTGAGCAGAGAATGGATTGAGAGCAGCCCTGCCGAGAAGGACTTGGAGGTTCTGGATGATGA